AACCCAGTGGCCAATACGACGAAGGCTCCTACGTTTGAGATACCCCAACGAGTCTGTATTTATAGACCAGTGGCCAATACGACGAAAGCTCCTATGTTTGAGATACCCCAACGAGTCTGTATTTATAGACCAGTGGCCAATACGACGAAGGTTCCTGTATTTGAGTTACCCCAACGAGTCTGTTTTTATAGACCAGTGGCCAATACGACGAAGGCTCCTATATTGTAGATACCCCAACGAGTCTGTATTTATAGACCAGTGGCCAGTACGACGAAGGCTCCTAAATTTGAGTTACCTCACCTATATTGTAAGAAATTAAAGTGAAATTACCATGATATTTCAATATAATGTTTGTTTGTTCTAAACGTTACATTGGAGTTTCCAGATATTCTGGCCAATGTACTTTTCGTAATCGTTTCCAAAGTAATCATATAATATGTAAAAATAAATGGTGTAATTTGGTTGATTCTTAGCTTACATTTAATCTTTGGATTTTTTTTTAATTGCAACAGGATATTTTTGGCAAAAAAAGACAAAGAGAAATTTCACATATACGATCAGTTGAAGCTTCCAAAATAGGATGACCACTACAGCCTCCGACTTAAAATTTCCTGGCCTGACTCGCAGTCTGAGGGTCGCGGGTTCGAATACCCGTCCCATCAAACATGTTTGCCCTTTCAGCCGTGGGGACGTTATAATGTAGTTGGTAAAAGAGTAGCCCAAGAGTTGGCGGTGGGTGGTGATGACTAGTTACCTTCCCTCTAGTCTTTCACTGCTAAATTAGGGACGGCTAGCGCAAATAGCCCTCGTGTAGCTTTGCGCGAAATTCAAAAAACAAACTCAGCCAAGTTATCAAAACGCTTCCTTTATTTCTTGATCGAATCTGCTATTATCTGCGGGACTTCCTATCTGATATTTGTCGGAAAACTAACTTTTACCCGAAAATACCACAATCGTGACCACTTCTACGTCTACAACAAACCATTCTTTCAGAAAAAAAACTTACTTTCAGCTCTTATCAATGTCAAAGTAGGTGCGATAAGTGAGCGGCAAAAACACGAAGGTAAATAGAATCGAGATATTTCAATGGTTTCCTGAACCACGAGTTTTATGTCAAAACTGCATAGAAATAGACTCCATGAAAAATTCAACATTTTCTGCTTTCGTAAAAACGGTGAATAAACAATATACAAAACACGTGATATCACAGAAGGCTTATATATCACAGAGGGATATCTTTTGGGGATTCATATTTACCATACAAGTGGAATTTTTCTCATCTAAACAAAAAATGTGATACATTAAAAAGTAAGCTTCGAGCTAACCAAATTGCATTTAATGTTTCACCTTACATAACGGTTCAGAAGAGTACACTGGTTAAAAAAAGTGCATTGGCCATAGGAGTTGAAAACTCCAATATCAACTTTTTGGAATTAGTAGACGTGAGACTACAATACGAGACTAATTTACTTCTGTTATACCATAAGTAAGGGTATTAGTAAAATCGAGGTCTTGACCATTTGTAAATTACTTCTATAGGAAAATCTTTGTACATATTTATATTTTAGATCCATTACAAAAATAAAAAAATAGCCCTTTCAAGTAAATTTAAAGACTATTTTAATTTTAAGTTTGTTTGTTTTGAATTTCGC